TGGATGATGGACATAGGCTCTGCTTGGCCGTGCCAGGCTCTCTGCTTCAAATGGCCAAAGAGACAACTTGGCTTCTCTCTCTCTCTCTCTCTCTCTTCCCAGCTGGCGCAGAAAGTCCCTCATAAACTGAATAACCCCAAGTTCAACGACCCCCACGTCAAGACCAACCTGCTGCTGCAGGCTCACCTGTCCCGCATGCAGCTGAGCGCTGAGCTGCAGTCCGACACGGAGGAGATCCTCAGCAAGGTGTGGGGGGAGGCGGTGCCCACAGTGCTTGAGGTGGGGTGGGCACTCAGTGGGGCGCTCTCAGAGCTTAGAACTGAGTGGAGTGGTCGGGTCCATAACTACCTGCCTTCCTGGGGGGGAGGGGGCGGAGCTTCCTCTCCTGGGGGCAAGGCTGGCATGTGCGGAAGGGCCAGGGGCTGAGCTAGCTGATGTCTGTGTCCCTATACTGCACTCCTCGCCATTCCCCGGCATGACAGCTCTCTCCCCGTCCAGGCAATTCGTCTGATCCAGGCCTGCGTGGATGTTCTGTCCAGCAACGGCTGGCTCAGCCCGGCCCTGGCGGCCATGGAGCTGGCCCAGATGGTTACCCAGGCCATGTGGTCGAAGGACTCATACCTGAAGCAGCTGCCTCACTTCACTTCGGAGCACATCAAGCGCTGCACGGACAAGGTGAGAGCGGGGGAGGGGGACTGGGGAGTTCTGGGTGGGGGCGCCCCAGAGCCTGGCTAGATGCAGATGCCTGCCCTTGTTTTTGTGAAACGGGTTGAACGTTTTTTGCTGCACCAGCTGCATTTCAGTCGGTACGTGGGTAACCTCTTCCCCTGTTGCTCCAGCCCTGGCCTTTTAGGGTGGAGAGCGCCAGGCTCTTGGCGCTGGTGCCAAAGGCTGCAGTTGAAGCCTGGTGCTGGCGCCCTGCCCGGTGTAGGGAGCTGGCGCAGGCTGTGTTCCTGGCACTGCAGACAGCACAGGGCATGTTCTAAAGCCCCGAGGGTTTGCTCAATGCCTGCACACTGTGTGCGCTTCGTTGCAGGGGGTGGAGAGCGTCTTCGACATCATGGAGATGGAGGACGAGGACCGCAACGGCCTGTTGCAGCTCTCTGACGCCCAGATCGCTGACGTGGCCCGTTTCTGCAACCGATACCCTAACATCGAGCTCTCCTATGAGGTGGTGGAGAAGGAGAGTATCCGCAGGTGAGCTGGGAGCTGCCTGCAGCAAGTGCCAGGGAAGGGATAGGCAGAGCCATTGGCATCCCTGGGTGCCGAATCTAGGCGCTGGGGAGGCAACAGGACCTTGCTTACCTCTTGTTTCTGTCTGCAGCGGAGGGCCGGTGGTGGTGCTGGTGCAGCTGGAGCGAGAGGAGGAGGTCACGGGACCTGTCATTGCTCCCCTCTTCCCCCAGGTATGTTGGCGTGCTTGCAGAGGGAACTGCTGCCTTCGTGGCTGTGACTGGCTGAGCCACCCGACAGCTAGGATGGGGCTGGGGCAGCCCAGGTCCCCTCAGACCCCGCCTGGAACAGAGCTGGCCGGGAAGCCCTCGCTGGCTGGGGGAGCTGCACTGGGCCCTCGAGCAGGATAACTGTCTCTGGGCTCCTCGCTGGCCAGCCTGGTTGTAACTGCAGGGCGGGGGGTGGAACATAGCTAGGGGAGCTCCTCCCTCCATTGCGGGCAGGGACTGTTAACCGCTGGTTGTTTCCTCTGCAGAAACGTGAGGAGGGCTGGTGGGTGGTGATCGGAGACTCCAAATCCAACAGCCTCATCTCCATCAAGAGGCTGACCCTGCAGCAGAAGGCCAAGGTGAGCTGTGGTGTGGAGGGAGGGGGACTTCGTGCAGCCCTGCTGCGGGGCATTGGCACTTCCGGGCTGCCTGCCAGCAAGGTCCCTGGCAGTGGGCGGGTGCTAGATCAAACCAGCCTGTGACATTCCACTGTCATTTCAGTGTCCCTGAGAAGGGCTGTCCTGCCCCCAGCTGTAGCGCACACAGCACACCAGGCCAGCCCTCCTGTGACTCGGAGGACACCTGGCTTAGTGCCTGACGCAGCCCTGCGAGTGAGGGCTGGGAATTGTGACTCGTACACGCAGGCTCGCATGCGTATCAATAGCAGTGTAGCCATGGCCGGGGAGGCATGACCTGAGAATGAGGGTGTCTTGGTTCTGCCACTACCTCAGTGTGACCTTGGGCAAGTCGTAGCCCCCCCGCCTCAGTTTCCCCATTTCACCTGGGGCTAATGCCTAGCTCACAGGGAGTGCTGATTCTGACCCAGAGGAACAGGGCACATCACCCCGTACGCTAGAGACACAAGATCTGAGCCCCTGGGAAGCCCCCTCCCCTGCCCAGCGCTAGCCCCTCTGCCCAGCTACCAGCTCACAAACGCCTTTGTTTGTTTAGGTGAAACTGGATTTTGTGGCCCCAGCCACAGGCGCCCACAACTACACCCTCTACTTCATGAGCGACGCCTACATGGGCTGTGACCAGGAGTATAAATTCAGCGTGGACGTGAAGGAGGCAGAGAGCGACAGCGACTCAGACTGAGCCGGGCCTTAGCCAAAGCTGGCCTGGGCCTCCCTGTCTGGTAGCGGAGACCTGGGCGCAGCTGAGGCATCCCCAGTGGTTCTAAGGGAACAGCGGGTACAGCTTTGGCATTTGTTTTAATGTGTCCGCGTGAGAGTGTGGGCAGCACTGGGCCCTTCCCCCAGTGTAGTGGGGCCTGCGGGACTGCCTGCTTCTGTGCTGGCTGTGTGGGGCGACCTGGCCTGTTTAAATCATAACCTCCCCGGTAGCTCTGAGCTGCCCCATTCCTCGCTGCTGCTGGGGCCGCTAGCACCAGTGAGGACAGCCCGTGGCGTGTGCAGGAGACGTCTCACCTCGCTGAGCCTGTGTTTCAGATGCTGATGGTTGTAGCTAAGCAGCCAGGCTTTGTACAGTGGTTTTAGAGGGGGGCAGGTCAAGGACCTTGGCCTCAATAAAGCTCTTTAGAAACAACCTCCAGTCCCTGGCGTCCTGCGGAATAACTTGCTGGGGGTGCGTGTCTCATCCTAGATTGTTCCTCTGTTGCCTGGAGCCTCCATGCCCAGGCACTGGCTGTTGGGAGGAATTATGACTAGCGAACAGAGGGTGTGAGCGGCGTCCTAGCTCTAGAGCTCTCCCACTTCCTCGGAGGCCCATCTCACCACACTCTGGGGGGGACTTGCTCATGCCTGAACCCTCGGTGGTTCCAGCCCTGTATCCCAGCTGGGGACTGGAGCCGTCCTCTCATTCAGTTCTGTGTTTCCTAGCCCTATGGCAGCATCTCCAGCCCAGCTCCCCTGCCAGTACTGGCTGCTGGGGGCAGACATGATGGGGTGGCTGTATCTCGAGTGAGACACCTGGGCTCCATTCCTAGCTGTGCCCCTGCTCTGCCCCATGTCTAAAATAGGGAGAACTTGCCTTTGCAAAGCCCCATAACCCAAAGGAACTCCACCATCCCACAGCCAGCTTGAAGTGCTGGCCCTGCTAGGAGCGGAGTTTAGCCCCTCTAAGAGTCTATTAAGACACTAGCAGCATCTTGCCTTCAAGAACCCCAAGCACTCAAGGCTGACTGCGTGTCCAAGCCCTGCTCCTAGCTGGAGTGCTGGCACAGGCTGGCACCCACTTGTCCAATCTAACAAAAGTCCAACTCAGCCTGTTCAAAACATTGTTTGAAAGTCAGCACAAGGTGAAGACAGACGAGGCTAAGCTGGATTGGCTGGGCTCACAGACCGGTGCTCAGGGCCCCTGGTAGTCACAGGATGATACAACTGGGGCCATGCACATTTTGTTGTTTCTGAGCCTGGGTGCATTGCACAGCCCAGGGCTCTGCATCCCCACCAGCTCCCAGGGGCCACCCTCCCCTTCCCCTCTCTGCTGTATGCCACTTGGCTTTGGCTGAGGGGTCGGTCAGCGGGTGAAATGCTAGTGGGAGGGTGGCCGAGCAGACTATGGCCTGGCAGAAGGTGTTAACACGGCCTGCAGCTGGCTTTGCTCTCCAGCCAGCTGTGCCTGTGCCTCACACAAGAGGGGGGGGCTCTGTCTCCCTCCCATGTTTACAGGCACCAGCCCCTGAAACTTTGAGTTGAGCTGTTCCAACCAGCCAGGCCACCAGCTCTGCCAGTGTGTTAAAGGTACCACAGGGAGGAAGTGTCCGCTGAGATCGCTAGCGGGGCTGTGGTCACTCTGGAAGCAGTTTGATGATCCTAGCTGCCCTCAGGCTGAGTCCCACCTTGACACTGTTGTCCTGGCCAGGCCAGGGAAAATGAACCAGGGGAAACCCGGGACCATACTGAACTGCTCAATGTAATAGAGAGCAACAGTTTTATCAGCTTGTGCCTGGTTGGGACCAAGATCACCCCTGCTCCCAACCCATCACGAACCAGAGCGCTATGTCCCACAGCCCTGCTCCCCTAGCACTGCTGCTCTGGGAGGCTCCCAAAGGCCACCTCAGCAACCTCATTTCCAGCCAGACTCCCCAAGAACGCTGCTTGGACCAGGGGCCTGCTGGAGACATCTGGCTCTAAGCCCAGTTGATACCACAGCTGAGCACATCACCAGGGGAATGAAGCAGAGCCAGGATTTGGGGGGACAGCACAGGATTATTTATTAGAACGCTTCAATCACAGGCAGCCCCCTCCTTCCCTCCACACCACCCTGGTACTTCCAAAACGCCACCCTGGGTCAAGAACAGCCCCTGCCAGTGAAACCCTCAGCTAGGAAATGCCAGTTTCCCATGGAATGGCCAGAACAGGGACCAGCTCCAGAACCAGTCCTGGCCCTGGCTCCTTTCAAGGAGTTGCACTACTGCAAAGAGCCATGTGCTGAAGCATCCTGCCAGCCTCGTATCAGCTCCAGGAAGGAACTGATGCTGGGCCCCTTTGCAAGCTGCTCATGCCCCCTTACCATCCACTGAGACAGAGGCAAAGCCTTTTCCTAGGGAAGCTGTTTGAGACACCCCCCCCAACCAACAC